TCAGGTAGGTTGGGGCTGGGCGAGGGCAAGACCCCCGCAAATGGGGGGGCACGGCATGGACGGCGGGGTCGAGCACCAGGGGAAGGGCAGAACCATCCTTTTTACGAAGCTAACCTGCGCCTGGCCCTCGCCAGCACCTACCAGGTCATCGTGGAAGAAGACCAGCCCAAGAAGCTCAAGCGGGAGCTGGGTGGGCAGGAGTGCTTCCCGGTGCCGCTCACCTTTGATGACGCCATGTCCCGTGGCTCCGTACACTATTTCGGGGCCGAGCTGCCCGCCAGCAGCCTCACTGAGGCCAAACCCTTCACTGTGGGGGACAACCAGACCTACAGTGGCTACTGGAACCCGCCGCTGGAGCCCCAGAAGGCGTATCTCATCTACTTCCAAGCCATGAGCAACCTCAAAGGGGTGAGTAGCTGTGGGACCCTGCTCCATCTGGTGGGGTGTCTGGGGTCCTGGTTGGACCAGGCAGGAGCCCACCTGGGTTCAGAAAAAATGGGGATCCCCCTCCCTTGGGCCCCCCGTCTGGGCTGACCCCCAGTGTCCTGCCTGGGGGGAGCTGGTGCTCCGGGCCACCCTTATGGCATGTTGGGATCATGGACGGGTGTCCCCCTTCCTCCCTGGGCTGTGCCTGTCCCGCTCCAGGTGCCAATGCTGGGAATGATGGAGCCCAGCCTCCGCCACCCACTGCGGTACCGGCACCAGTGCGCGGGAGACCACCTTCCCAGGGCTAATCCTGGGGTGGAAAAGGACCATTTGGGCAGCAAGAGCCATGTGTGCGTTACTGGAAGCTGCTGCTGACACAGCGGCTGCTGCAGAGAGCTCCTGGGAAGCTGCCGAGTTCCCGGGCTGCCCTCTCCCTGCCTGCGGCTGCCTGTTCTCTCCTCGAAGCTGTAACAGCCCCGCTCCGGCAGCAGCCTCCGCATTCCCCCGGGCTGATCTCCTGCAAGTCGCTGGTGGGACCGCTGGGACCCCCGGGGACCCTTCTCGGCTTCACCTGCTCCGGCAGCTCCCGTCCCACCCGGGGGAGGATGAGCTGTGAAAGCGAAGCAGCAGGACCGCGACAGCATCATCGTCCTGCACGGCTCCATCTTGCTGGAAAGGTGCTGCGTTTTGAATCCTTTCCTCTGCTCTGGGATCCTTCACACCTCGCTGGGTTGTAATTAGAACCGAGAGGGACGAGGAGGATCTCTGCTCTGGCTCGCTCGGGCACTGCTGGATAATAACTGGTGGCTGACGCTGTTTTATAGCCTTCCTGCTGGGAGGCAATGGATTTGTCCCGGCTGCTGTCAGACGTTGCGAAAAAGCTGGATCTCAGCTTGGGTTTTTTGTGGTTTTTGTGCCAGATGGAGCAAGAAGCAGGAGAAAGAAGAGCTGGTGACTGCGGGAAGATTTTCCGGAGCCGGCCCTGCCCCAGGCTTGCTGCGTGGGCAGGTCTCGGTCCGAGGGCGGCTGGAGCAGCGTTGCCAGCACTGGTGTCCCGAGGGGCTGGAGGATGCTCGGGGAAGAAGGCAGTCCGGCCAAAATGGTTCTTTTTATTTTGCAACGGAAGTTGGATACATGGAAAGATGGAATATTTTAGCTGAACCCATCCCTAAAAATGCAAATGCTAAACTTGTTGGAGAACTGAGCTGGAATCGCTCGTGGCAACCTTGGCAGCACATGCAGAGCACTGGGATGGGCCTTGTAAACTTGGACTGATGGAAAAACAAACCCTGTGAAGCTCTGAACAGTGACCTGGGAATGTTTTAGCTGTAGTCGAACGCGCTGGTGACCTGCGGCTCGGCTGGGTCCGCTGCGTCCCTCCTTTGATGATCTCGAGCTTTGCCGTCCCCTCTGTGCCAGGAGCGATGGCCTCGGCTAAACCTGGGGACGCTGGGGACAGATCATTCAGCAGCATCTCTTGGTGTGTGTATGTCCCCAGGAGCTCCTGTGGCTCAGCAGCGGGTGCTGCAGCACAAATCACCCACAAACTCCCGGGATTTGGGGATCAAAGCACCAACAGGACCAGCTTTGCATCTGCCCAGCCTCGCTGAGAGCGGGAGCGGAGACGCCCGGATGCTCATCCAACACTGACCCCCCTTTTTTTCCTCCGTAGGAAACCCGGCTGAACTGCGTCCGGATCGCCCGCAAAGGTGAGCCCTCCCTTTCCCAGCCGGCGCGATCCCGCTGAGGCTGCGGACCCGAACCCGCGGGTGTCGTTAACCGCGCTGCCGTCAGTCGGGGCGCGCGCGATGGTTTATTACAGCCCCATCCCGCACTGTTGTTTCCCACTTTCTTTGGTATCTGGGTTTTTCCCTTGCTTGAGTTTTCCCTCTTGATGCCGTTATTGCGGTGGGAGGCTGGAGTTGGTGGTGCCGGATGCTGAATCCGGAGATGGACAAGCTTAGCTTGGGTGTGACAAAAGGTGGCACAAAGGGACTGTCTCACCCCACGGGAACAGAGGGAAGGACTCGCCCACGGTCATGGTGTGGCACTGCAGAGCCCCGTAACGTCTCGGTGGAATAAAACGTGTTCAAGGAGCAATGTGCATCCCGCAGGACAAATCCCAGCGTTTTCCCATCTGATGTTGCCAGCTCCCCCCGGAGCTGAGCACTGACCCCTCGTGCCTGTCCTTGTCCCCTGGCAGCTGCCTGCAAAGAGAGCAAGCGTGCCCTGGAGGTGTCGCAGCACTCGGAGGAGATGGGCCTGATCCTGGGGATCTGTGCCGGAGGGCTCATCGTCCTGATTATCCTCCTGGGAGCCATCATCATCGTCATTCGGAAAGGGTAAGGAGACCCGGTGTGGCGGCTGGTGCCTCCATCCATCCCCTCCTCCCTGCTCAGCCCTTCTCCGCCACCCCAGCGCTAACTGGGAGTTACTGGTGGTGATACTGCGCTGGGCAGACTCCAAACCCTCCCGTGAGCTGCGCCTCCGTGCGCTCGTGCACCCCACCGGGCACGGTGCCCTCCCTGCTCTGTGGCACCGGGCACGGCAGGAGGCACTGGGGACGCTGGGGACCAAGGAGCAAAATCCCAGGAATGTCCCTTTGCCCTCGGGGCTCTGCAGCTTCGTTCCGCTGTCCCTCTCCCTCTCATTTTTCAGTCTTTTGCCTTTTTCTGCTGCTTCTTTGGCTCTGTCGATTCTGCCCTGATGGAAATGCTTCTGGCCAGGATTGGGCTCCGAGGGGCCCTGGGCCAGCGCTGAGCCCGGCTGTCCCTGTCCCACCAGCTCTTCCCCTGCTAACAGCAGCCGGGGGAGCCCGGGCTGTGCAGCCCTGTACCCCTCCAGCCCAAAATTACAAAAATCAGCTTGATCTGCGCTGAGAGATTGTCTCTGGGCTTCCCCGCTGCCTTGGCCAGCCCGGGGCTGGATCCATCCGTGTGAGCGTTGCTGTCCGGGGTCCAGCCGTGCTGGTGTCCTGCCGTAGGGGTGGATTAGGGATGGGGCCGTGATTCCCTTGCATCGAGCTGGTGTTCCTGGAGACGGAGAGGAGGGGAAGGCGTTGCATCTTTCCGCTCTCGCCCCTCCGCCGTGCCCCCAGGACGATGGGTGAGCACCCAGCACCGGTGGGAACAGAGCCCCGGGGGTGCTCGGTTCTGGGA